GCCCAGAAAGAGCTTCCATTTTCACTTGTCAAGGCTGGTTTTTGTTGTTGTTGTTGTTGTCGATGGACACAATATCTTTATTTATTTATTTTTATGTGGCGCTGAGGATCGAACCCAGTGCCTCACATGTACAAGGCAGGTGCTCTACCACTGAGCTACAGCCCCAGCTGTATCAAGGCTATTTTTGTTATTTCCTTAGCTTCCATTTCTTCCACAATCCACATAATACTAATTTAGACTATACCAGACTCTTCACTGCTTCCCCAAGATGGCTAATGACAGTTTTCTATTCTGATTTGTAGATGAGACAGCTTGTCAGGAACTTCAGTCTCTGATCAGGGAGCTCAGTTTCAGCTCCCAACTTTTATTAGCTCCATCTCTAATCTTGCATGGACATTAAAACATGGTTCCTTAGCAATGAGACCTATTCTAGATCCCACAGCCTCATAAGTCATTGGCTTCAGCTATCACTTACTACTGTGTTTTGCTTTAACTCTTTCGTTTCTGGCATCTGGAAATCTGGAAATTTCTCTTGCCTGATTTTTTTTTTTTTCTGTCACATCTTAGCTGTGAAAATTTTGCTGAAAAAGTTGCTCTGTCAGATCTTACAGTTTTCTGAACTTCCCCTAGGAAGAGACACTCAAGCCTCTGGTTGGGGTTCCATGGCCCCCTTCACTGGCTCAGCCAAGGGAGACACAGCCAAGATTCCCTCTCTGGAGATCCACAGCACCTTAACCCCCCTTTTCTCCTTCTTTCTTATTCTCCATCTTTCAAGTTTGGGAAAACTTTAGTATCTATAGCAAGATAAACAGACACTTATAACATAAATTCTAAATCCTTTGCTTTTGCCAGGTCTTTAGCTTTGGCAGCCTGAAAGCTAAGAATGGACTCTTTTGTTCTCTGTGTTCTGCTGTGTCATCCTTTCCCTGAAGCAGGAAGATGGAATGCCACAGCTGCCAGGGCTGGGGCAAGGTCCCAGGGAACAGGGAACACTGGGGAAAACCCCTGAGGACATCTGAAGACACTATTCTTGGGGCTGGGGGAATATAGCTCAGTAATAGAGTACTTGCCTAGCATGCAGAAGGCCCTGGGTTCCATCCCCAGCACCAAAGGGAAAAAAAAAAAAAAGTTTGTGGTGTTTATAATCCCCAGCCAGAATCCCATCACTATTTTTGAGAGTCATTCTGTTATTTTTCTAGTGTTTTATAATTAGCTGGTAGGTGTATTTAGTACGTTAACCAGAAATTTAGCTAATTAAATAATTTGGTATGTCACCTCTGTGATAGTAAAACTCTTACTCTAAGTTTCTTAAATTTCAATGAGCTATTTACTCACTTCAACTCATTTGTTCAAACATTCGATACTCACCAAGTACCTAGTAATTATCAGCTACTGGGCTTTCTGCTGGAGGAAACGCCAGGACAAATCAAACAACCCATTCTCTTTAAGATGTTCCTTTTGTGGTGGAATCCAGTCGTCCCATCATCAATACATTCCCATTCTAGCAGAATGTATAGGAAAGAGAGCAAAGAAGAGGAAGCCACTCATTCTGGCTGGGGAGATAAGAAATATCTTCACAAAAGAGAAGACCCTTGAGTTGGCTCTTGAAGAAAGAATAGTTGTTCAAGTAGTGAAGGATGGAGGAATCCACCTTGTGTGGTGGTAGAAGGCAATCAGAAAGAAGAAGCCAGTGTAGTCCCATAACATAAAAGCTGAAAACTTGTCTGGCTGTATGAGTAGGAGAAGGGAAGAGGCAAATATATCTGTGAACATTTGATCACTGTGCTTTAGGGAAAGTATCTTTGCTTAGAGATGATTTTTTTTCTTTTTTTTTTTGGGGGGGTACTGGGGATTGAACCAAGGGGCGCTTAACCACTGAGCCACATCCCCAGCCCTCCCCTGTTTTAAAAATATATTTTAAAATATCTTTGTTTTTTTTTTAATTTACTTTCATGTGGTGCTGAGGATGGAACCCAGTGCCTCACATATGGGAGGCAAGCACTCTGCCACTGAGCCACAACCCCAGCTCCCATATCCCCAGCCCTTTTTATTTTTTAGTTTGAGACAGGATTTCACCAAGTTGCTCAGATGCTTAGAGATTTTTAAGCAGGGAAGAAAAATAGTGTCACAAAAAGGGTGGGGTGGGGGAGGAAGGGAGGAAGAGGGAGAGAGGAGAGCCAGAGAGAGGCATTCAGACACAAGGGGGTGGGTGTTAGAAAAAGAGCACACCATGTGCTTGGGAGCAAGGAAACAAACTAAGATATTACAATGCAACTTTGCAATCTTCCACTATCATATTAGCGCAGGCCCTTATATTTCTCATGAGGTATAAACTTTTTAAAAACTAAGATCTGACTGTATCTTACAACAAATTAGAATTGATCAATTTCCATTGGAATATAAGGGGAACACTCTAAAAGTAAATATATGAAGTTCATGTTTGCATACCACGGGTGGAGAGTCCTACAAGACAACTCAGGAAAGATCTTCCATCAGGTTGTTGAAAGTTCTTTTTATGAGCATATTCTTTGGGTCTTTTGGGGGGCTGGGGTAGGGGAAGTTGAAAGTAAAAGGGCTGGGGGCCTGAGGCATAGTTATAGCCTCACCATTTAGTAAACATCATATTCTGTGTAATACCTACCCAGACGTTTTAGTTGCATTTTGTCTTCTCATCTTTCTCTGAATTCAAGTTGAGTACTTTTTGTGTGTATAATTCTGTAAGTTCTTCCAATGAAACAATGGTGATAGTTTACCATCTAGTTCATTTATGTACTAAGTCAAATGTATGAATGACTAGAAAATAACTTACATTAAACATGTACTTAGCAGGGCATAGTGGCTCACATCTGTAATCCCAGTGACTTCAGAGACTGAGGCAAGAGAATTGCAAGTTTGAGGTCAGCCTCAGCAATTTAGTGAGATCCTGCCTTGAAATAAACAAACAAACAAACAAACAAACAAAAAGGCTTGAGGATGTAGCTTAGTGATAAAGTACCTCTAGGTTCAATTCCCAGTATAGCAAAGCAAAACAAAAAAAAACAAAACAAAACATGTACTGGAGTATAACAATTTTATTTGATAGTCTAGCACAGATTAACAATAAGGTAGCAAACAAGCCAACAATCTCAGTGGCTTAACTCAATGAGAGCTTATTTCCTATGCTTGAGGGGTCTGCTGTGTGGCTAGGAGATTCTCCAGAACAGATGCCCACTGTGTGGTGGCTCAGCACCCTGGGTTGCTCTGATCAGGAGGCACCTTCATATGGAGGTGTTGTTTTCACCATGACCACTGGAGAGCAAGAGTGGGCTGACTGTGGACTACTGTGCAGGCAATTAAATGCTTCTATTACAGATGTGACCCAAGTCACTTCTGTTCACATTTCACTGTCAAAATAAATCATATAAATAACCATGGCTAACTTCAAGGAGGGGAGAAAAAGCTATCTTTTCATGTGTCAGGCTCAGAAATATAGTAAGATAAATATTATAGAAATCTTACAAAAGAAAGGGTGATGGGCATTCCAGAGCAAAAATCAATTTAACTTAAGCATGTCATAAAATAAAAGACCATCCTCTCATTTTTCCATCAATAATTGAAAATTTGTTTGGTGTTATTTCACTTTATTGTGTCCATAGGAACGGCCTACCAGAGGTTTCTCATCAATCCTAGCTCCCAAGCTGGTTGATTTAGTGGAACCTACAAGACTTCTGTGATTTTTCCATATGTTTTGTTCTTTTCTTTCTCAATTCTCATATGTGCAGCCATCCTTGTGAGAGATTTTCTGTATGGTTCTAAAAGGTCTTAGTCTATGTTTTCAGAACTCATTATTGCTTCTTGAGGATATGCATCTATTTTACACAAAGGTTTTTGGAGTGCTTAACCCAAACAACTTTGACCCAATCGATCAATAATATCTCCATCTTGGAGCTAAGGTACTTATTAATAAGAGGCCACCAGGGTGTCCCCAGAAATTCAGCACAGGAATAATGGCAGTTGATCTTATTGCTAAATAGGAGGGGAAAAAATTGGCTCCAGGGTATTAGGAAAAGAAAGAACACCATTAAAGTAAAAAGTAATAAGAAACTGAGGTTTTCATTTTTCCTATAAGCATTTGGGACAAAGTCAGGAAGTTCAGGGTCTTTCCTAATTATTTTGTGTTTATCTCTTATGTAATTCTTACCACTCAGTAAGAGTAAACAGAATGAGTGTGATGTGTTAAAATAGGAAAAGGAATACTTCTCTACCTTTCTGTTTTAAAATTAAAATGATCAGATTTCCCAGAAATGTTTTCTGAGTTTTTTTAAAATACATATATCCAAGTACAAAGGTGTGAAAAATTCACACTAGATTTTAACTGGAGGTATACATAACAAAGTGTGATTTGTCCATATTTTAAGAAGTTAGCTACATTAAGAAATAGGAAGCGGGCTCATATGTAGCTCAGTGGTAGAGCATTGCCTAGCATGAAGTCAACTGAGTTGGATTTCCTCACCAAAAAACAAATAACATACCGCTCTCCCTCCCAAAGATTCATGTTGTCAAACTATCTTAAATCTTAAAGTAAAAGTTAGAATTAAAATACTTTATAATATTGTGACTCAAAACACGAGTAGTTTTTGAGATTGTTAGGAAAGAGGATGCAGAAAATAATGTTCAGGCTTGAGAAGAAATTGAAACCAAGCAATACTGTTAAATTTTTTTTTTCCAGTGCCCTATTGCGAGTGGTCCCTTCTCCAGGGGGCAGCAGAGATACTCAGGAGGGGACCAAGATTGGCCGACTCTCCCGGGCCGTGCCCGCGCAAGGCTCTGGGGCTCCTGCTCCCCGGGGCGAATTGGCGGGGCGCGGGCGGGAGGAAGAGGCGGAGAGGCGGCTTCACAGATAAGCCTTCGCAGGCGAAGCTCTCTGCCCGCCGGACGGGAGGAGGGGGTAGCAGCCCGATTAAAGAAGCAGCCTGGAAGGAAGGAAGGAAGGAGCGAGGGAGGGACGGGAACAGCAGTTGCAGGAGGAGGAGGAGGAGGAGCAGCGAGCCGGGCTGCAGCGGCGCGGGAGGAGGAGCGGCCCCCTCGAGGCTACGTTTTGTTTTTGTTATTTTCCATCCGAATAGTTCTCGCAGGCTTTCCCCCAGCACAGAGCGCGCCGCAGCCCGACGGCCCCGACCTTCCAGGTGACAGCCGGTCACCCTGGTAGGAGTCAGCTCCGCCCCAAGTCACCCCCCTCCCGCCCACAGTCCCATTCCCCGCCCAGCCTCCCGGTGCCTGCCCGAGGCCAGCGCGGCGGCCGCAGCGGGCTGCAGCGCTGGAGCGGGCGGTGGCTGGGGCCCTGGGCGAGGTGCTTTTACCCTGCAAACCCGCGGCAGAGGAAGGGGGAAGTCGGCCCGGAGGCGCGAGCTGGAGAAAGGAGGATGTCCATTTAACCCGCACCCTCCTGCCCGTCCATTGCTGGGCGCTCGTCTGGGTGCCAGCAGCTAGAGCCTCCGAGCCGTGCCCGGAGAAGTGCCGCATGGGGCAGGGCCGCTGAAACACCGACTTCGGGGTCTCGTCGCGCCGAAACGGGCGCGGGGGCCCGTTGTGGTAGTTGGCACAGTTTCGGCCCCGCCTTCAAAGCCGCGCTGGGAGCGCGGTGCGCCTGGTCTGCCACCCCGCTGCCCTCGTGAGGCGCGAGTTATGGAGCCGCCCAGCTGCATTCAGGATGAGCCGTTCCCGCACCCCTTGGAGCCAGAGCCGGGCTCACCAGCGCAGCCCGGTTCCGGGAAGCCCGGCGACAAACGCTTTCGGCTGTGGTACGTGGGAGGGTCGTGCCTGGACCACAGAACCACGCTGCCCATGCTGCCCTGGCTCATGGCCGAGATCCGCCGGCGCAGCCAGAAGCCCGAAGCGGGAGGCTGTGGGGCGCCGGCGGCCCGAGAGGTACTCCTGGTGCTCAGCGCGCCCTTTCTGCGTTGCATCCCCGCGCCCGGCGCCGGGGCCGCAGGGAGCGCTGGCCCCGCGGCCACGCAGCCCAACCCTGCAGTGTTCATCTTCGAGCACAAGGCACAGCATATCTCACGTTTCATCCACAACAGCCACGACCTCACCTACTTCGCCTACCTGACCAAGGCGCAACCCGATGACCCCGAGTCACAGATGGCCTGTCACGTTTTCCGCGCCACAGACCCTAACCAGGCAAGTCCCGGGCGCGGGGGTGGGCCTGGCTGTTGAGGGTGCTAGAGCAAGACTCCAGGGCAGGGACCCCACTTTAAGGACCAGCAGTGGTTGGGCTGCTGGCGCGCGCGCTCCACGTGGCGCGCTTGAGTGCTCCGCTTGCTAGTCTCCTGGGACCCGAGAGTGGGCGAGAAGGCGTTTGGTGGCTGGGCGTGCGGCCGGAGCTGAGGGCTCACAGACTCAGGGAGAGGGAGGCGGCGGAGAGCAGTCCCGGGACAGAGGAAGAGCTGGGCTTTAGGGGAAGACGCGGGGAGAAGCGCGTCTTGGGAGTTCTGCGGTGTCAGGGGTGTGACTGCAAAGAGCTTGCCCGTCCTCCCCTGGTGTTTTTGTGCGTGCACGTGTGAGTGTGTTATTGGGAACGGAGGAGAGGGTTGGGTTCCTAGAGGCCCTTGTTCTCAGTCTCGTGGAGCCCTGCACCTTAACCCGTTTGACCGGTCGAATCCTGATCACAGCAGCACCTGCAGGTATCCTGTCCCGGAGGCGATTTCCAAGCCGAGTTTAGGGAAAAGTTACTAGACCTTGTCAGTTTGGCAGCAAAATTCGAGTCTGTGTTTGGATGTTGTGTGGGAAGAAGACTTTATTTGCGTGTTGACACACTCTTTGGTTTTTTTTTTTTGACACACTCTTTGGAAACAAAATTAATACATACTTGGGTGACTTAAAAACCCGTGTAATAGAAGAGGTTTCAAATGCCATTTACAAAACTGGTTTTCTTTTCCATTTTCACCCAGTAGTTTACAAAATCTAAGTGTTCTATTACTAAACTTAACTTTGACTTCCTTCAAAACAGGTACAGTCCTTATCTAACAGCGACAGGAAAACTTTACCACAGTGATTGTGCCTTTGAAAGTAGGCTTTAAAAAATGTGTAAAGAGTTTATTTTTAAAAAACAATATGAAAAGCCCATAGTGCTGTTTTAAAAATGATTATTTAATGTTGATAAAGTACTTTAAGTTCTTTGGAAAAATAGAGGTGTCTAAATATAAATAAATAAAGTCTCAGGTTGGACCATGTGGTGTTCTTTTGCTAGCTGGGAAATTAATAATAGAAAGATGAGAAAAACACCCTATAAATAAGGTTTAATTTTTGTCTTATTTCATAATTCCAGGGTCTGTAACTGAAAGACATTTTGTTTGACCAAGTCTTTCACAAAAGGCCAATAGATGAATTGAAGAAAATAAAAGTTTATTGTATTTGCTTTTATCACTTTGCAAAATACTTAAAACATATTAATAATCAGAACTCTTAGTGTGAACACAGCAATTTTAATTTGTGATCACTGTTACATATATGGCAGATTGCCTTGGTATAGATTCTCTCAAAATCCTAACCATGATTAGTGAATTTCAGTTTATGCTCATTTGTTCAAAATTTATTTTTAGCTCTCATGTATAATAAAATTGAAAAGTTTCTGAAAGTTATCACCATCTTTATTTATTTAACATGTTTGGTTATGGCAGTAAGGAGGAATAAATTGCATTTTTCCAGGACTTAAAGAAATGTTTCATGACTTGGTATTTTGTGTTAAGACTTTTGTTGTTGCTGTTGTTTGCTTTTTTTCCTCAATTCTGGTACATGACACATTATTGCTAATTTCATTGTTGTCATGGTACCTTGGTTTCTCAACAGTGACTGTTCAGCCCCTGCTGGACTCAGTGGTTGGCAATTAAAAACATCCTTTTAGTCTTCCTCATTATATATTTAAGTGTTAGAAGAAGAATGTATTATTACTTTATAAATACTGTGTTTAGGCCTATTCTCTTTTAGTCTAGAGGCAGCAGTTGAAAGCCATATGGCTTTCTGATAAAAGAAAAAAAAAAACAAGCCCCAACTTTCATGTTCATTGTCATTTCCCAGATGAGTCCTTGATCTAAAGATATGGACTCTTATTTGCTCTGAAATAAGAGAATCCCTGGCAGAGGATCATTAATTTGAAGGGTCAGACATCATATCTTTAGGGATTATCTCCAGCCATTAATCAGTGGTACAAACTCAAATACCAGAGAAGAGAGCTGAGGTGGACTATGAACGACTGGTTGTGGGCATCCTTTCTCAGAGTGCTACCCAACTCCGATGGAAGTTACAGATATGAATGCAAAGCTCAGTGTTGCCCGGACTTCCAATTTCCCAAGATAAAGTGGAAATCTGAAATTTTCTGTTGGACTTCACATTTTAAAGTAATGGCAAATGTTTTAAACTTTTAAGAATCCTCTCTGGGCCAAACAATATATATTTGAAGGTTGGCTTCAAAGATTGGTGGGCTGCCACTTTAGACTTCTGGTATATTTGTTGAGTGGACGAGTGCAGTCATCAACACTGTCTTGTTTCCTACATTTTCTTTTGGGCATCTGAGTTTACTCCATATAGTTCTCTTAGGAGGGAGAGTTGGGATCATTGTTTTTCAAGAATTTGTCTTAATACTCCCAGAATTGGTGATTCTGCAGGGAGATGTTTCAAAGGGATGGGTTCAACATATTTTTATCATCCAGGAGTATGCTGCATATGGAGTAGTTTCTGGATGGTTCTGGGTACCCTTGCAATCAGAAGGAAGAAGACTGGCTGTTTGCTTTGTCCTGAATTCTACTTTGAAAATGCAGAATTATTTATTGGACTTGAGATCATTGTTAAGGGAGTCCGCTGTTTTCTGCATTCACTAAACAAAGTATGAAGAGTAGCCTAGAGCAATGAGCCTGCCTCTGTCTCTCATGCCTGTCGCTTTGTACAGTGGACCCATCTGTAGGATGGTAGATCTGTTTCTTTTGTTGTTTACTATTATCATTTTTTGGTCTTTTTTCTCCCTGGTCTGAGGTCTTAATCTGCCTTGACTCCATGGTAGAATAAAAAAAATTTTTTTTATCTGGGGCAATTTTTTTATTGTGAAAGGGGGCACCACTAATAATTATACAAGCAGAACAAATTATAAATCTTGACTGTTCAGGGCAAACTGGGACCTATATTCACCATAGGAAAATTGCAAAGTTTGTGTTCCTGCTGGGACACTGAGTTGGAGGATTGTGATTTCTAATAGAAAATGATAATATTGGGCTGGGGTTGTGGCTCATTGGTAGAGCACTTGCCTAGTATGTGTGAGGTCCTGGGTTCGTTCCTCAGCACCACATGTAAATAAATAAAATAAAGGTATTGTGTCCATCTACAACTAAAAAAAATTTTTTAAAAAATGATAATGTGCAGATTATCTACTGAAATCTCTTTTCTGACCTCAGAGTGCTGTGCTTGGGTCTGGGGAGTTGCCATGGTGATATGCCCTCTGGCTTCATATCTCTCTGTTGGGCAGTCAACTTAGAGACGTGAGTCCAGAGCTGCACTCAACCAGAAGGGCCTAATGCACAGTCTCTTCTTTCAGGTGCAAAGAGAGGCGGAGATGGGGGTCAAGTACCTGACAAAAGGAATGGGTCCCACTTACTTAAGCCTGTGTAGTCTTATGGAGGAGAAATGTCAGGCTTAGCACTTTTCAACCTAACATGGATATTTGAACTAGGACAGGAACTAAATACGTATATTCTTTAAAACCTCACTGGCATAGTTTGTGTTGTAGACTTAGATCCCATTGGGGAACCGAGAATACCTGATTCTTTCCTTAAGATCTAGCATAGATCTCTAACGTTTTGCCACTACTTACCTCTGTCTGCTTTCTGAAAGAGACTGCATAACATTACCTCAGTTTCTCTATTTAAAAAGAGTTGTTTATGTTACGAATATTTTACAAAAAAAGCAGTTATTGTTTATGAGGATTAGAGATTAAAAGTATTAACATTTGCATAAGACTTTGACAGTGTGATTTTATTTCATAATTATGGAATGAATGGATATTTAAGACAAAAACATGGTAATTATAGTTTTATTGGTTGTGTTTTATGAATATAATTTTTGAAGTTTGCAAGGATGACTTTAAAGAGATTTTACAAATTATATGCCTACAATTAAAATAATGAATTTAATTTCAGTTCCTTCCAGTTCTTAGTTCTCTGAATCTGCAGTTTTATTGTTCCTCTTAAAATATTTATTGTCTAGGCTTTATTTGTGTAACCAGATTTCAACATCATTTTGTCAATATGTTTCAAAGAGGCCAACTCTTAATTCTTTATAGTTAGTGCTTTCAGTGGATTTGGGAATATACTTATCAGAAAACTAGAGAAATTCAGTTTTTATCTCTTTCCCTCTTTCTGCCTTTCAACTGGTAGATCTGTTTCTTTTGTTGTTTACTATTATCATTTTTTGGTCTTTTTTCTCCCCGGTCTGAGGTCTTAATCTGCCTTGACTCCATGGTAGAATCTTGACTGCAGTCTGGAGTGGGGCAGAGGTTAAAAACTTGTGTGGAGGGCCTCTCAGCTGCAAGGGAGCAGGCACCTTATGATGGGAGCCACATTCTGAAGATCAAGGCTGTTCAGTATCAGCTTGATTACCCTAAACCAGAAGTTCTCAATCTTGAATGGGTATGTAGATCAGCTGGAGGGGTTGTTAAAACAGACAGTGTAACCTTCAATTTCTGAATATGTTTCTGGTGATGCTCAGATTACTACTGACCTGGGGACCAGGCCAGAACTATTGCCCTAAATTATTGTGTTCCTTTGGTTGGTCATATGACCATTTCTGTTCTCTTGGTAATTTTTACAGTCATTCTGAGACTAGAAAATTTAAGGTAAATGTAGGTAGGAATAAATATCTTACTACAGAAGATTTGAAAGAAATATTGAATCTTTTGGTATAGTGGCATCTTCCCTAGACAGACATTATTTGCCATCAGACCGATGCATATATTGAATGAAAAAGTTGTTTTCCAGTGAAATGTTTTAAGTTTGGTAGATGGAATAAACGATTCATTTTGGGGGGAGGGATATATCCTAGTGTCAAATAATGATAGTCTTTGTAAAAATGAAAACTTTATTGGCACTCTGATAAACAGTACCAAGACATATTCTATTCAAATGCCTTTTTCTCAG